CCAAATCTCACAGGTTTGCACTTTAAGATTCCCTACTTGGTTTCTCATCGAGTGTTTATGGCCCCTTGATGCTTTTCTGGGCATCTGGCAGTGTTTTAGCTGCAGATGTAGGAAGCTTGTAAAGTRTTGGAGTCAGGTGGGCTTTAGGTGAAGTGCTCCCCTGTTTTGCTGTAGGCATGAGCTCTCCCTCAGCAGCTCTTTTCTCTAGAGAACAGTAATTTTCTTGGTTCAATCTTCACAGACACAGTTACTTTGTTGAGGGGCCAGACTGGCCAGCAGCAGGAAATTTACACCTGARTGTTTAGTTTATCCCGTGGCCCTTTAGGAACAGAATCAGAAGAAATGTGAGTAGGGAAAGATTGAGAGGAACTCTAAAATACAAGGTAATCAAGAAGAGACCTTCAGATGGCATAGCACTACACACATATATGTTTTGAAGAACTTCTTGCCTAATTACTAAAAAGTTACTATAAAGAAAGTATATTATAAACAAATTAATAATTTTCTTCCATTGCTGCATAACTGACAAAAAACCCAGACAAGCCACCTAAAAAGTAGGCAGCAATAGTTGGTAGATGTCACAGTGAACATCAGGCATACAACTGGATCACGACATGACATAATTATAGTAAATTTTGAAGAAAAAAATTATAATGTACAAATCCCATAGAAAAATGTCATGATTCAACAGATCTACCCTTTCAGTAGCTCATTCTGGGGTTRCAGTTTGGCCTGGTGTACAGAGGAGCTACAGAAGACTCTGACAAGAAGAAACAAGGGGAGTAAACGAGAATCAGAAATATGTATGAGGAATGAGAARCCAAAAACTAGGTTGCTTTCTGACTGGAAAGTAACTGGCAGTGTAACAACAAAGCACAATGTAATTAAGCCTTCTTACAAACTACCAGAGATTTKCTGTTAGCTGTAAGGTTTATTTGGTCTCTTTTCTGAGTCTCGCAGCCAAGTTCCAAAGGCCTGCCCAGCGAGTCTGGCTTAGTAGGCAGAAATAAAAATCTATGGGAAGGATATTGGCATGGAGACTCCTAACACCATCCAGAAGTGCTTGCTATGCACAGACAAAATGTGTGGCTTCCTCAGCTTGCTCTCAGGGTTTGACTCAGTTGTCAAAACAGAAGCATCTTATGCCAACTTGAGTGCCTTAGGACCATTATAACAACCCCGTGGGTCTAACACACATGCTGCTCTATATATGGGACACTTCCAGAAGCAGCAGCTGGAGGCCAGGTGATAATCTTGAGGAGTACAAAAGAGTACCCTACACCTGTTATGGCAATTGAGTCACACTGTCACTGTCCCAGATAAGAGTGTGTGCCGGCCATGTCTACTCYAGTGAATGTTAACAGAATGAAAGGGGATGTACCAGTAACAGTACATTATTGCAATTTGGAATTCTGAAGTGACAGAGGTACTGTGATAATGCACCATATGAACTGCTAGCTTTGTCTTGCTCTATACAAAGTCCATTTATTGATGTCGTGCTGATTTTTGGCSATTTAGTGTCCAGTTAAATAAGTTTCTTCATCTTCAAGGGAAGAAACGTCAGAGGAATTCAACAGAGAAAGCAAGGACAGAGGCAGAGAGGTGGCAGAGCAACACGTGGCATAGGAGTGAGTCAAGGGGAAAGTATAATTTACAGGGTCACTTCCAAATGACTTTCACCCCCTCCACAAGGCTAAAAGGAAACTCTCCATATAACCCTAGGGATTTTTTTCCCTGCCTTGATTCCAGGATTACAGAGCATCATCATAGCAAAAAGCACACCTGAAATAATAGAAATTTTATATTTACACTCAAACACAAGACCATAAAGACCACAAGTCAGCCACCAATTTATTTAATAATAATGATTTGCATACTGCAAGTTCTGTAAACAGAATAAAGTGCTAAATTTGAACTAGACATTAGACTAAATACTAAATTGTACTTACTTGTGAATTTGGAACGCCGCCCACCCAAGCCACACTGGCGTATTTTGCCACCCCGAAAGAGTCCGTAGTAAATTTCTCCAATGAACTTGACCAGCTCTGGATCTGTGGCATTGACCAAATCAGCTCCTGTTTTGCAAAGGATCTTTCCAGTCATCCACTTTGGGGTCCCCATTGCAACAACAATCAAGATAAAAGACGCAAAACTTATTAGAGAAGCCAAGGCAAATAACGTCTTTTTGAAGCAGCCAGGCATCCTAGTGCTTTCAAGGAATCATTTCCAAGGCCTCTGTGCAGCAGTCAGACATCTTTCCCATTTTTCAWCAYGYTCCAAAATCCACAGCTGAATATCAGGCATTTCAAAATACTTCTCTCTGTATTTTGAAGGTCCAGTAATTAATCTGTATGGTTAAAAACAAGGCAAAACCCACATTTTGCTGCAACAACATCCCAGAGTGGTTGCAAGCAATAGCTTCATTACATAGTAGTGTGGTGATGCTTCTTTCKGCAGCAAGTAATCCTATCTCTACGGTCTGTCTAATATTTCATCGGGGTTTAATTGTCCTACTCAAATGACATCGAGTTCTTTACTGTAACCTCACGTGAAGAAAATTTGGAGAAGAATCCAGTTTCTTAGATTATTTTAGAAAGGGTGTAAATAGCTGTATGCAAGGAACAAAGCATTAAAACAGCATAATTTGGCTGGAGGATTCTGCCGGCGGCTCAGCCGCTCTGCGCTTTCCCGGCGCTTGCTCGCACCCAGCCTCTAAATGTCACTGCAGGCAGAGTTATCTAAGGGACAGAAGTGACGGGTCTGGAATATTCTGAATTACAGCGGGGCGCACAAAGCCCCTCRCAGCCGGGGAGGCCCGGCCAGCCGTGCCGCAGCCCACGGGACTTGAGCGGCGTAATTCAAGCTACAGGTGCGATCCTTGAGCGCTAAAGAAACCTGGCCGTAATTGCCCGCACTTCTACGGTTACTGCTACTCTAGCCCTGGGGGGACCGTCATAACCACTAATTAATTAATTAACAGCAGCAGTAGCCCTAGGGACTGGTAACACGGCCCCCTGCCGCGGCTCGGCCAAGGCATTAGAACTTCACCCCCTCCTCCGCTGCTCTGGCTCCGCTCGGCCCGGGCGGGCAGCCCAGCCCAGCCCAGCCC